CAGAGGCAAGGACGCTTTATCCCCATCATCTGGGAGACCACGCGTCGATCCGACTGGTTCGACAGGAGATTGATCTGGCACAGGAGACCAGATGGGAGCAGATTGCCTCCCAGGCGGGAGGAGGCGGCAGCCGTTTTGGGTTGGACTGGACCACCCACCAAAGGCTGTTGAAGCGACATGCTAAACGCCATACGATCTGTACGGGTCTCAGAATGGCGTGGCAAGGAGCAGTCCTCAAGAAGGATCATGGAGGTCCCGACACTTGCCCCAGATGCGGAGGAGAGGCAAACACGCTCAGGCATGCTATCCTCGAATGCCCTGCCTGGGACAGCTTCGATCTCGGAGTGGACAAGAGCTGGGTTGAGATTCTCCCCAAACAAGAGGATTGTTTCATCCTCAGAGGACTGGTCCCGATGCACTGGACGTACCATCCTCCTCTGCCGGCAGAATCGCTCCAACCTGTAGCAACCGGACTCTTCCTGGAGAATCTCCCCGACGTCACGGGGCTTTACGTAGCCACCGACGCTTCGGGAGGACCGGAAGGCAAGGATGTGAGATGGAGGGTGGTGGCTTGGGCTGTTGTGATTGCCCAAGCCCCCAATGGTCCCTTTCCGATTGACAGTACGTTGCACATTCCAGACCTGGAAGTAGTAGGCACGCTCAAAGGGGTCATGCAGGTAGGCAGCTCGGTTGCAGAAGGTGAATCCCAGGCCCTTTGTGAAGCGGCCAGAAGGACCTCGGGCATCATTAAGGGCTGTGTCGACAATAAAGCAGCCATTGCCCAGGCAGAAAATGAGAATTTGCAGGCGAAATGGCCGCACATCTGGGGTGACACGGTGTCACCCACCAGATTCCAACTGTAATGGATTAAAAGCCACCAGGCCAAGGAAGAGTTTCTCTCCAATAGGCCGCAAACTGACTGGTGGAAATGGGCTTTGAACGACGCGGCGGACGGACTTTGTAGAGGATGGGCGGCCGAGCACACAGACAACCGCTTTGTCCAGAGGGCGAAGGAAATTGACGTTGCTGCCACCTCATACAACATGTTCCTAGGCCGACGATGCGAACACCTGCTCATGCACCAGGCGGAGGCAGCGAAGGATGTCAAGTTTCGGCCGGCAGGCCTCAATAATCAAAAGGATCCGGCCAGGACGGAAAAGAAAAATGTGTCCAAAAAACAGATGATGTTGGATGCTCTGGCTGGCAAAGGAGCAGGAGGGCACCACTGGTGCCAAACTAGCAAGTTGCCAGCCAACAACGGCAGAATCAAGAATTTGACCATCAAGTGCCAAAAGTGCAGCCTCTTTGCACAACAAATAGATGGGTGGGAGGATCTCGCCAGAATCTTGGCGCACCCCTGTGAGGGTGAAGTCCCGGCCACTATGAGCTGGAACTTTCACGCCTCCCACCGACTCAGGAACCTGGGCAACTACTTGGTGTGTGCCGAATGTGGGGAATTCCAGTCAATTAGATTGTCGCTGGCCAAGGCAGGACTCACAAAAATTTGCCAAGGCCATGGTCACAAGACCAATGACAAGGTCAAGTCATTGTTTCCCTCTAAACACAAAGATGCACAAGCAAAGGGTAGTGTTTCCACCCCTTCCTCCAAGAAGGGGGCGAACAAGAAGAGTGACGGTAAGGTTCAATCCAAGCTTTGCTTCAAGTAATTTCGCAGTTTCTGCTCAAACCCAGGTTAGGAGCGCTTCGCCCTGGCCATGGGGAAAGGGCAGACGAAGGGCCGCAAGGGCCACAAGGGCAAGGCCCGGCCAGCGGGCAACAAGGGTCGAGCCCACACTGAGGAAGCTTGGAGACATGCTCAGCAAGTCAATGCTCGGCGGAAGGCGGAAGGGAAGGACGCCAGGTCTACAGCGTCCATCAGCCGATCACAGCGGCGAGCTCAACAACACCATTTGGCCAAGGCCAAGGCCAAACCAGAGGCTGAGAGCAGCAGGGCCAGATCTCGGTCTCCACTGAGAAGAGGGGCCAGTAGCCGCAGCCCAGCTGCAGAGGTTGCCCAAAGGTCCCCCTCCTATTCCGAAGAGTCTGAGGAGGAAAGTACCGGCCCAGGTGGGGCCGGAGCCAGAGATGATCCCCTGGTGGACCCTTTGCAGCCCGCAGCAGCTGCAAAAGCTACAGGTGAGATTCTCCCTGAGCCAAAAAATAAGGGGCAGCGTGCAACAACG